AACTGTAGATAGTGTTCTCTTGTAATTAAATATTTATCTATATCCATAGACAGGGCCCTTTTCTCATTCCAAATATCTTATTTTTCCTCTGATAAGAATTCCTAAAGGGTTCTTTTTAAATTAGTTTTCAAAGAATCAGCTTTTGATTTTTAGATATCAGCTACTTTTCCCTTCTTCCCATTTTCTTAATTTCTAGTTTTATTGATAATTTCTTCTTTCTTTGGTTTTATTTTTTCTTTTTAGCCTTTTGGTTTAAATGCTTAGTTACTTTTCAGTCTTTCTTGTTTTTTAAAGTACATTTAAAGCCATAATTTTCCTTTGAGTACCACTTTGGTCTCAAAGCAGAGAGGTTTATTATTGTTTATTATCATACAATTCTAAATTGTCTGTAATCTCTGCTTCACTTTTCTCTTTTACTGGAGAGTTACAGAGCACTATGGGCTTCCTTGGTGGCTTAGTCGGTAAAGAATCTGCCTGCAATGGAGGAGACTCAGTTTCCATCCTTAGGTTGTGAAGATCCCTTGGAGAAGGAAATGGTAACCCACTGCAGTATTCTTGCCTGGAAAATCCCATGGACAGGGGAGTCTGGAGGGCTACAGTCCATGGGGTTGCAAGAGTCGAACACCACTGAGTGACTAAACCACCACCACACCATAGAGCACTATAGCTTTTTAGATTTTTCAAGTGGATAGTTTCTTTTAGAATCATGTTACTGTTCAGTTCTGATCTTGTAGTGCAAAACATGTTCCATATGACTTCTGCTTTCTGGAATTTGTTGACATTTTAATTTATGACCTAATATATAGCCAATTTTTATGACTGTTTCACATGTGTTTGAAAATATTTATTTATGGTTTGGATGTAAAGTTTGCTCTTTCAGTCTCTCAGTTTACATTTTTGAATTGTGTTATATAATGATAAATCATTATTTGGGGAGTAACTTGTTCTGTCTCTAAGGAAAGGCTGTTCAATTCTCCCACAGTGATTGTGGGATCTGTCAGTTCCTACTGTTTTTAAAAAATCAGTTTTTTATACATATACATATAATTTAGGCAATATTCTTATATATTTATGACTCATGACTTTGATACTATTTGATGCTGTACTTTTTCCCTAAATACTCTGGTTTGTTCTATTTGATGCCTTAGTCTTGAATTCTGTTTTGTGGGTGCATATTACAGGCATATCCTTTTTTTTCTTTCATTGTTTATTTCTTCTGTGTCATTTTGTTTTATACATATCTTTTATAGTATCAGACAAGTGGATTTTGTACTGAGTATCTGCTTTTAATAAGTGGATTTAACCCATTTACTGTCGTTCCTCATAGATTTATTTCTGCCATCTTATTTCACGTCTGTGTTTTAAACTTTCTTGTTTGTGTACAGTTTTTTTGTTTGTTTGTTTACCATACTGTGTGGCTTACAGGCTCTCAGTTCCCCAATGAGGGATTGAACCCATAGCAGTGAAAATCCAGAATTCTAACTACTGAGCCACCAGGGAACTCCGTGTATAGTTTATTTTTGCCTTTCATTGAACTGGTCCCATTTACTTTGTCCTGTTTTCTTTCCTCTAATGATTAGGAAGTTTTGAGTTTTATCTCGGGTGATTATTCTATATATTGTACATATATGTGTGTATACTTACATTTTTATATCAGCATCTGGATGTAATCAGTATCTTTAGACTTTTCCCAAATGAAGCAAGAACTTTAGTATTTATTAGTGATAACATTTTTCCCAGCCCCTACATTCACATATGTATCATCATCGATTTTAGTTCTAGATTGTCCTTCATTGTTGTCAAATTGTTTTATAATATTTATTATAATATGTGTTGAAACTTAACTCAGGTTTTGCTGTTTCCTTTGCATACCACTGTTGGCATCATTTATAATGCCACTCATCTTTCTTTTTCATGGATCTATTTTTCACTTTGCTGGAGTATGTCCTCCAGGAATTCTTTTAGAAAGCATGGATAATGTAATTTATAAGGCGGTTGATGTCTGGAATGACTGTTTTTCCTTTCTAGAGGGGTCCATTTTGATTTTCAACTCCCTGTTGAATTTTTTTTTTAATTCCCAATGATGGTATTTATAGATATCTTAGATCTCTATTTTTGTTTCAGGTAATATATATACCCTCAAAATCTGTGCATACATGAATTACAATATTACCTGAATGTCTTCTGCTGTTCAGTTCAGGCCTTGCCATCCCCACTTTAGTCAAATCCATGCCATTTGCATCTGTTTTGTTGACTACAGTTCTGAGTGGGATTCACTCTCTCTGGGTGAAGGTCAGTCTTCATCCCTCTTCCCAAGAAAATTGGGGAAGCTTCCTCAGTCTCCCCACTGGTCCTTAGCTGTAAATCTTATTTTCTTAACCCCTTCATTTATTATTAATATTCAAACCAAAGAATTCTAGGATGTCAGAACTTAAAGGACTTGAAAACCCAGGAGCCCTGCCCTGCTTTCATACATGAGGAGACCCGGACTCTTATGTGTGGGGTACAGCTTGTGTCTGTGTGACCACCAAGCCTTGGCCCTCTGCCTTGCGGAGTGACTCAGGGGGGTGTGCAGAGTGACAGGCTATGGGGACAAGGTCACTTTCTCAGGCATGATCTCACAGTGTCTGCCTGAGATGTGGATTCCTGGGGGTCCTGACTAGCTTGTGCTATGACTTTCCTGGCCATCCACACACTGGCAACTCCTATGTCTGTATCTCTTGCCGCTCTTCTACTTTTCTGACTTAAGTCTCCAAATGCCTGTTTGAAGTCCCACATACATGTCTGAGAGGTTCTGAAGTGTGTCAGAAACTGAGCTCCCCCCCAACCCTGTTATTCACCATCTTCCCCCATTTAGGATATGATACCACCATTCATTTGGCTCAGGACCCAAACAGCCACCATCCTCAATGCTCTTCTCTCTCACCCCCACGTCCCCATGTTTCCCTCCAGAACACCCTGCTCCCCTTGGCTCGGGCCACTCACAGCATCCAGCTCACCCCACCTTCAGTCCAGCTCTCCATCTTGTCTTGCTGGATTATTGCATAACCTCCTACCTAGTGCCCCTGCTTCTACTCTTGGTCTGGATTTCCCCAACAACCAGGGTAAACTTTTCAAATATCCTGTAGATCATCTCTCTCTTTTGCCCAGTCTCTGCCGTGAATGAAGTCAGCCTTATCTGGATGCAGCAGTCCCACCCACCCTTGACCTGCCCCACCTCCCCCCATCTTCCACTCACCAGTCCCTCCACTTCCCCAGTTCAGCCGGCCTGCCTTTGCACACCTCCACCCACCATGCTCCCTCAGCCCGGAATGCTCTTGCCATTGGCCACATGGCTCCCCCCCCGCCCCCATCATTTAGTCACTGCTCAAAAGCTTCTCCTAAAGGAGAAGGAGAGATGCCATCTTTCCCTATCCAAAATGACACCAACTTCCACCAGTTACCTCCAACTGGTGCTACTGTTCCTAGTATGTACCCATCTTTACTAGAAATTACAGTATCCACTCATTTATTTATCTGTCTTCCTGTTAGATTGTAAGTCACATGAGAGCAAGGATTTTGCCCCATTCCCCTTTATGCACAGTGCCTAGAACACTGCCTGACACACAGTAGATGCTCAAATATTTCTTGAATAAATGAACAAATGAAAGTGTATAGACTTCACATTCATTTATTCACTCAGCTGCTGTTGAGTACTGTTTATGCCAGGCTCCGAGTAGATGGGTGACACACAAACCAGGTCCCTGCCTCTGGGAACTGACAGTCCAGCTAGGGGCCTTTTAAGTGGGCCTTTATGGGGGTGGAGAGTCAGGGCTGAGGCAGCAATATTCTGTGAATCAGTATCAGCTCACCAAAGCAAGCGGAGCAAGGAGGAGGAATGGCTGGGGAAAGGAGCCCCAGCAGAGGATAGATACTCATAGCAGACACTCCTAAGGGACTTCTTTGTGTCAGCACTGCTCTCATGGCCTTAGTATATTAACTCAGGACAACCCTGATGAGCCCCATTTTAGGAATAGGAGGCACAGAGAAGTGAATTTGCACCGGGTCACACTCTGGGAATGAGGAGCCAGATTCAGCCCAGAATCGGGCTTCAGAATCTGTAACCACCTGCTCCACGGCCTCCAGGAGAGGGGAGGTGTGTGGGCAGAGGTAGAGAGCTGGGGGAATGGGGAGGGGTGGCAGGCAGCAGAAGCTGAAGGGTTTAAATTTCACAACCCCCATGGGCCTGAAGCCTGTCATGCTTGCAGATCTAGAGAAACTCCCCCCAGCTGTGGCTGTGACCTCTGAAACAATCAGGGAGAACCTTTGTCTCTGGAGAATAGGCTTATGGGGTGGCAGATGGGGAAGGTGAGGGGAAGAGCCTTTGGGGAGATGGTCTCCTCAGCCGCCTCAGTTCCCAGATCCCAGGAGGCCTGCAGCAGCCTCATCCTTGGTGGCAAAGGCCCTGGCTCTCAGGGGGCTGCGCTGTCCCTTGGTCCTGCCTGGCGTTTGTGCACACAGGGCCGGGGGCCCTTTCTGACCTGGGAAGGCCTCTTTGGGCTTCCCACAGGCTTGTCCAGGGCCTCTGGTTCCAAGGGGCTGCCAAGTAGAGGCACTGTGTCCATTTTACAAGTGAAGAAACAAGGACTCAGAGAGTCAGGTGACCTCCCCAAGACTCAGCTTGTAAGGGCTGCTGAGGGCTCCAGGCCCAGGTCTGGGGACTCCGGAGGAGTTCTGCCACAGAGGTGATCACTGACTTCATGAGGCTTTTTCTTCAGACAAAGAAGTAAGGCCCAGGGAGCACCATGGGGTAGAATCAGTGGGCCCACAAGTGAGTCAGTCAGAGCCTCACACTGAGGTGCCTGAGGCCCCACTGGATCCTAACAGCACAGCCCGGGGCCTCGTGGAGACGCTCCGTGAAGCCACCCTGGGCGGGGCGCAGCTGTAGCCTGGGGGTCTGCAGGCCCCGGGGGCTCCCAGATGGAGGGTGCCAGCCCCTGAGTGGCCTCCTCCTACCGCAGTTCTGGACACGGCCGGGCAGGAGGAGTTCAGCGCCATGCGGGAGCAGTACATGCGCACAGGGGACGGCTTCCTCATCGTCTTCTCGGTCACGGACAAGGCCAGCTTCGAGCACGTGGACCGCTTCCACCAGCTCATCCTGCGCGTCAAGGACAGGTGAGGGTCGGGACACCCCACACCTGGCTCAGGCTGGGCTCTGTCTGTCTATCTCAGATCTTTAGGTGAAAGCCGAGATTCAAGGAGCAGAACTGAATTCAGCCCTTGGTTCCTCCAACTCCCACCAGCTCCCACCCTAGTCCTTTCCACATGGCAGAGGGGTCGACATGCATCCACAGCCTCGAGGGGTTGGCTCCCTCCCATCCTGCCTAAACTGTCACCACTGATGACTCAAGGAATCATAAATAACATCTGTTTTTCAGCTCAAATTTAACCAAATTTTATTACAGCCAAAGAAAAAGTGAATTTTCTCTCCAATGTACATTGTAATTGGTTAAATCACATTTGACTGTGAGATTTATAAGCCCCTAATTAAAGGCTTGGGCTTAACAGGTGGCTCAATGGTAAAGAATCCACCTGCCAATGCAGGAGATGCAGGTTCAATCCCTGGATCAGGAAGATCCCCTGGAGGAGGAAGTGGCAACCCACTCCAGTAGTCTTGCCTGGGAAATCTCATGGACAGGGAAGCCTAGCAGGCTACAGTCCATGGGGTTGCAAAAGAGTCAGACACGACTTGGCAACTAAACAATAGCAACAGTTAAAGGCTCATGTTTTCCTTAGCATAACGTGGAGTAGTTAAATAATTTGAAATTGTTGTAAGTCCAACTGGTCTTTTCAGTTAATCAGCTCTTGAAGAGGTTAATATAAAAACAAAAGGACAAACTAACAGGAGTTTTGAACAAATCTCAGTAAATTTGAAAAGTCCAGTTAACACCTATCTTAAAGGCAAAGTGTTAGTAACTTTTCAAGATAAAGGTATACATGCTTACAAACATGTACACATACATACACATAAAGTTCTAAGAGATAAATGTGGGTTAAACCCTTGACTATAGGAATCTCTAAAGAGAAAACATAAATGACACAAATATGGGAAGATATTCAACTTTCTTGCTAGTCAAAGAAGTGCAATAAAGCAGGATAAAGTACCATTTTTCAATTACAACTTCTTAATGAAAATACTCACTGCTGACAAAGATGCTGTGAGATGGGCATTTCATTGACTTCGGGACAGGAGTGTGGCCACATGTGTCCTTCAGAAATTTTCAGGCAGACACGCCTCCAGATCCCTTCCTGACTCTCCTGGGAGCCATCCTGATTTTGTAGCTGCCATTGGTGAGGGGCAGCCGTGTGCCCACCCCTGGCCGTGGTGCTCTTCACGAGTCATTGCTGATGGCCACAGCATAATGGCCTGCATGGGCGTGTGTCACGGTGACTGGGAGATGAGAGGAAGTGGGCCTGGGAACCCAGCCACTGGCCCAGACAGTGTAAAGCCACAGGGTTCCCAGGAGAGTTCCCACCCACCTTGCAACAGGTATGAGGCTTCAAACCAAGGCAGCCAGCAGCCCGCAGGCCCCTCTTCCATCCCTGGAGATGTGGAAGGAAAGACTCTGAAGTCAGCCTCAGGCCATAGGGAGGTGCTGTGTGCTGTGTCAGGCCTGACACGAGGGCACCCCGCCTTCACCAGGGAAAGCTCATGAGCTGTTCCTTTTTTCTCCAGGGAGTCATTCCCCATGATCCTCGTGGCCAACAAGGTCGATCTGATGCATTTAAGGAAAATCACCAGGGAGCAAGGAAAAGAAATGGCGACCAAACACAATGTAGGTGGTGTGTGTGTATGTGTGTGTGTGTGTGTGTTGGAGTGTGACATCAGGGGATGTCAGTGTCACCTCACTCCTGCAGACCTCCTAGGTCATGGGCTGGATTCCATAGACATGGGGCATGTGCAGCGTGGGATATTTTGTGAAAGAAGATGCCAACCCTGAGAGAAAGCACGTCCTTGTCAGTCAGTAGAGGCCCTGCTCTGGGGAGGGCCCTGGCCCTGGCCCTGACACGGCAGGTTCATCACTGGGCCATGCAGAGTTGGCTTCTGGCTCTGAGCCAGCACCTGACTGTGCTCAGAACCGTCAGATCAGTCACCTTCACTGAGCACTGCTCGTTCCAGGCATTGTGTTGGGGGAGCATCTACTCCTGGCCACCACACAGGGAGGTAGGCACTACTGTCTTCATCTTGGAAGTGATCAAACCCAGGTTGGCCCACCCACAGTGCATGTCAGCAGACATCTTTAAGTTTTTTGTTTTTGTTTTTTCTATTCATTGTGATGCCCCTTTACCCACTGGATGGTGGGGTCACTGGGCTTCTTCCCACCTCTCCCCTGCATTGGCCAAGCCATGCCCTGGCCTCACTAGTCAGTTATGTAGACATCCACCTAGACTCCCAGGAAGTCTACAGGATTATCGCTTCCCTCTGCCCGGTGGGCCTAGCTCTGTGAGTAGAGGAAAGGGTTCACTGTGGGTTAGTTTTGCTTATCTCTGCCTTCTGTGTTTATTCACATATTCATTCAACCATCCTGTGTCCTGGGAAACAAAACTCCATGCTCCAGGTGCTGACTCCTAGTGACAGAAGACAGTCAATAAACAAAGCAGGGAATTCCCTCATGGTCCAATGGCTACGACTCCAAGCTCCCAATGCAGGGGGCCTGGGTTCCATCCCTGGTTAGGGAACTAGATCCCACATGCTGCAACTAAGATCCAGCCAATGCAGCAAAATAAATAAATAATTTTTTAAAAACCCAGCTTTAAAAAAAATAAGTAAACAAAGTAAATTAGAGTGTGCCCAAAGGTAACATGCTCTGGGGGAAGGTAAATTAGGGAGAGAGGGAGGGAACATGGAGTGGGGGGGCACACTTTTGCAAATAGGTGATCAGGGAGAGCCTTGCTAGAAGGTGCATGTCAGCCGGGACTGACTAGAGATGAGGGAGTAGGTCCTTTGGATATCTGGGGGGAAAAGTTCCAGCAGAGGAATAATCCAGCAGTCCAAAGACCCTGTTGTGGGAGTTCAAGGAACAGCAGGGAGGTGAAAGGAGGCCAGAGCAGAAGGAATGGAAGGGGTGAGTAACAGGAGGCAAGGTCAGAGCAAGTGGGGTGCAGTGGGTTAAGGCCTAAAGGGCTTTTACTCAGAGTGAGGGGGAGACCACTGCAGTTCTGAATGAGGAGTGACATGGCCTGACTCCTGGCTGAACAAGGGAATTCCAAAAAACCATCTACTTCTATTTCCCTGACTACACTAAAACCTTTAACTGTGTGAATCACAACAATCTGTGGAAAATTCTTAAAGAGATGGGAGATCCAGACCACCTTACCTGGCTCCTGACAAACCTGTATGCAGGTCAAGAAGCAACAGTTAGAACCAGACATGGAACTCTAGATTTCCAGGTGAAATATCAATAACTTCAGATATGCAGATGACACAACCCTAATGGCAGAAAGTGAAGAGGAACTAAAGAGCCCTCTTGATGAGGGTGAAAGAGGAGAGTGAAAAGCTGGCTTAAAACTCAACATTCAAAACACAAAGATCATGTCATCTGGTCCCATCACTTCATGGCAAATAGATGGGGAAACAGTGGAAACAGTGACAGATTTTCTTTTCTTGGGCTCCAAAATCACTGTGGACAGTGACTGCAGCCACGAAATTAAAAGACACTCCTTGGAAGGAAAGCTATGGCAAACCTAGACAGTATATTAAAAAGCAGAGATCACTTTGCCAACAAGTTCTGTATAGTCAAAGTTATGGCTTTTCCAGTAGTCATGTATGGATGTAAGAATTGCATGAAGAAGGCTGAGTGCCAAAGAATTGAAGCTTTTGAATTGTGGTGCTGGAGACTCTTGAGAGTCCCTTGGATAGCAAGATCAAACCAACCAATCCTAAAGGAAATCAACCTTGAATATTCATTGGAAGGACTGATGCCAAAGCTGAACTTCCAATACTCTGGCCACCTGATGTGAAGAGCCAACTCATTTGAAAAGACCCTGATGCTGGGAAAGATTGAAGGCAGAAGTCGAAGGGGGTGATAGAGGATGAGATGGTTGAATGGCATCACTGACCCAATGGACATGAGTTTGAGCAAACTCTAGGAGATAGTGAAGGACAGGGAGGCCTGGTATGCTGCAGTTCATGGGAGTGGCAAAGAGTTGGACATGACTTAGCAGCTGAACAACAACAACAAATAGCAAATCATTATGTTGTACACCTGAAATTAGTGTTATATGTCAATTATACCTCAATTTTATGTGTACATATATAATTATATGTTTATATACATGGAAAAAGAAAAAAATGCCTTGAAATCCAAGGGGAAAAAAGTCATGAAACCCCTGTAGGTAGGGCAAGAGTCTTGGGATTGGGGCTGGGGACACTTCAGTGCCATGCATGCAGGGAGATGAGTGGGCAGGAAAAGCAACAGAGTGGTCAGTGATGTGTGAGGACCAGAGTGAGGTCTTGAGAGCTAAGAAAAGGACATGCCTCAAAGAAGAGGGAGTGATTGACCAAGACAGATGTGCTCAGAAGTCTCCAGGTGAGCACTGAACTGACCACTGGGTTTAGAATTAGATTCAGACCTTAGAAAGCACCCACCTCTCTACCAGCCAGCATCGTGAACAGAGAGAGGCCAGGAGCTATCCCATCCCATAGACTCAGGCTCCACACAGTGAGCTGATGCTGAGGGCTTTCATAGACCACTTCTGGGTGGGTGGATAAGGATGGGGGGAAGTGGGCAGTGCAGGGGTAGCAGCAGCCCCATTCTTCAGGTAACAGAGACTGAGACGCAGGGGGCTGGTGAGGCGTACCCCACCTACCCCCACTGGAACCCAGGTCTCCAGTGTCTCAGCTTATGTTGCTCTTACAGCAAATGCTGCAACCTCATTTATCGTTAGACCACATGACCTTGTTAGCTCCTGTCCTTATTTTAGAGCTCATAAGGCAAGTTCCTCTTGAGCTGACCAAGGCAGGTCACCCCTACTCAATGCAAGAAGGAGGCATTTCCTGGCCCTTCAGTGGAGTCAAACAGTATTACCATTTGTTGCACGATTTCCCTTAGCTTAAGTCTTGTTACTGCAAAATCTTAGAATTCTAAGGACCCAAGTAAAGCACATCAGTGTTTCTGCAGAGGCCGAACCCCCCAGAAAAAAGGTGGCAGTGTCTGGGGACCAGGGATATTACAGCTGGTGTGCTTGTGAAGGGGTGGGCAGGTAGCAGAGGTCTGGCCCTAGGAACCTGGGACATGCGAGCTGGCAGGGTAACAGGATGCAAAGAGGCTCTGGGTAGGTCCTTGCCCCATGGATGTCCACAGGGAAGAACACTGTTCTGCCCTCAAAAGGTTGAATAGGGCTCCAGCTCCCGGAACCTATTGGGGTGCCTATCATGCTTAGAAGAGGCTCTGGAGTGGACCTCAGCACCCCTACCTGTCCGCGTCAGGCCAGGCAGGAAGTGGAAGGTATTCCCGGTCCAGATTTTGAGTCTCCACTGGCTGTTGTGTGGCTTTGGGCAAATACATCACCACTCTGAGCTCAGTCTCCCCAGCTGCAAAATGGAGATAGCTGATTTGCTTGCCTCAGCAGGTTAACGTGAGGATTAGTGAGGTCAGGGACATTGAGACCTGGGAGGCCAAACAGCCCACAGTCACCTCAGTGAGGAGCCTACAACCTAATAACCTCCAGGAAGGCAGTTTCCTCTCAGGGTTATCAGAGGCTCAAATATTTGTTGAATGGAAGTTTGGAAATTTCGAAGGTCTGAGCCCTGGCCTTTGTGCTCTGCTCTTTGTGTCTGGATCAGTAGAGCAAGGCCCCTGCTCGAAGCCACAGCAATGTGTGAACATCTGATCTGCGATGATCGTTGGTGGGAAGGTACTTTTTGATGTGTTCTAGGCACTCATTTACAACCTGCTCCTCCTCTAAGATGACGACTTACCCTATCCCCAGGTTTAACCTTTCGGTCATTTTTATTTTGTTTGCTGTGTTTTTTTCCAATAGTGAAATGTCTTAATTTTGTAATCAGGAAAAAGTTGCAAAAAATACCAGAATTCTTCAGTCTAATCACAATTGGCTTGCCTGCATCTCATCTAGGGAGCCCAGTGTGTGCTGTCCAGAGCCCACACTCTCTCCACTTGTTAGGAAAGTGGGGGTGTGCCTCCTGCTTTTATGGGGTCCCTATGAAAGGAGGAGTCTCTGTCCTGACTTCATGGAGGTTTTGTTTGCCCATGGCTTGGGGTAGACATGGCCCTATGAGGTCCCTTCAACCACGTCTTCCAGTTACTGCCACCCTCTAGCCGAATGCAGACATGAGCCTTCTGTAAACATGCTGAGCTTTGGGCTCACAGATGCACACCAAGAGAGAGCTGGGCCAGGCAGGCTGCCGGAGACCAGAAGGGATGCACAGGCCACCAGGGTGTAGAGTCCTGCCCAGGGCCATCCGCTTTCCCACCCACATCCCCTCAGGAGGACCCAGGAAAAGGGGCAGGATCCCCCAGGGCACAGGAAGAGACCTCGGGGAGGAAAGTGAATAGAATCAGAACATACATCAGTTTGATAAATGAAACAGTCTTTAGTTTCAAGTGTATAAAAAGGTCTTTTTCATTCTATTTTTAGGGGGCTCTGAAATATCTCTGTGAACCAAGAACAAAGAGAGAGTCAGAAAAGCCGTCAGGAAAACTTTCCAACTTTAAAGAGTGAGAAACCATAGATGACTAATGAGAACCTACTGTACAGCACAGGGAACTCTACTCAATGCCCTGTCATGACCTAAGTGGGGAGGAAATCCAAAAAAGAGGGGCTGTATGTAAACGTATAGCTGATTCACTGTGCTGGGCAGCAGAAACTAACATCGTAAAGTGAGTATATGCCAATAAAAATTAATTAAAAAATAAAATCCACACAGCTTCTAAAGAAAGCAATAATAAGTAAGCAAAGAGTGAGAAGCCACCCAAGGCTTGAGGTTGTAGGTGCCAGGGGGCTCTGCCGGGTTCCTTGGGGACTCTGAGAATTTTGCATTTTTTAGGGAAAAGGGCTTTGTGTATCTCAGCGACTCCGCTTTGCCTTCCAGATTCCGTACATAGAAACCAGTGCCAAGGACCCACCTCTCAACGTCGACAAAGCCTTCCATGACCTGGTTAGAGTCATCAGGTGAGTGAGGCTCACCACCCGGAAGCCGGGCCTCTGCAGCCGGATGGGCGCAGGGCAGGCTGGAAGAGCGCAGGGGCACCTTGTCCAGGCCCAGGCCGGGCTCTTCTGGGCCTTCTTCTGGGTTTCTTATGCCTCTGTCCATCGATCTCTGTCCTCCCACCCACCTGTGCCTTCCGCTACTCCCTGTGGATGGAGCCACAAGCACCAGCACAGCCTCCTCCCTGGATCTCCTCCATCCTACAGCTCAGAATCCCCTTGGGCTGCACCTCCATCCTGTATCCCCCCCAATCCCAGGCTCTCCCGACACCAAAGCTGCCAACTCAGTAAAAAGTAGGCCCTCCCCTCTTCCCTGATGTCAGAACACCCCTTGACATTTTAGCTAAACGACCAGCATCTGATTCTTAGGCTGCAGTCACAGAGGCTTTGCACATGTGTCTCCTCACCAGTCCCCACACACTGGCGGCCTGCGAGGATTGTCAGAAACCCCAGCCATGGTCTCTTGTACATTCTTTTGCATAGCTAGGTGTAAAGCTTCATCATCTCATGCTTGGATGACAGAGGCAGCCTTCTGGCTGGCTCATCATCCTCTATCTTTCCTGTTCCCCAAATCCTCAACCTACAGAGACACCTAATCAGTGGTTTGCAGATGACGTGCATTTAGCCCGTTGTCTTATGCTGGGGACCTCTAGGACTGTCATATAGTTGTGGAATCACATGCAGGCTGTAACCATGTGCTTCCTGACCTGCCATCTCTCAGCCCCCCCACCCCCAGTGCGTGCACACACTCACACTCATGCATACACACCCAAAAACCTCCTTTTCTGATTATTCCCGAGCGTGGACTGTGGTTGGCAGCCTTCCACTTTATGCTTTAGCTGGCAGTCCTGCACTCGTGAAATTATTTTCTCATGGGTGTTTTCCTGGTGTTAAGAGATGCTACCACACCAGGAGGGGGTGATGTCTTAGTTATGGACCTCCTAGTTCCAAGGGCAGGTTTTAGATACAGGAAAAATGAACAGGACTTCCCTGGTGGTCCAGTGGTTAATACTTCACCTTCCAATGCAGGAAGCAAGGGTTTGATTCCTGGTCAGAGAGCTAAGATTCCCACATGTCTCTCAGCCAAAAAACCCAAACATAAGCCAGAAACAATATTGTAACAAATTCAGTAAAGAATTTTTAAATGGTCCACATTAAAAAAAATCTTTAAAAAAATAAAATAAAATATGAAACACAGACATAGAAGCCAACACTGTATGACATATAACTGTATGACATATAGCCTGATGTTATATGTGATGGAAACAAATGCAGCCATAGCATGTTATCAGGAATGGCAGGTTCATCCAGTAGGATGGCAGGTTTTGCTCTGCCCTCTCTCCCTTCCCACTTTCCCTGCCTGAGAGATGCTTTCCAGGCCAGGCCTTCATCCTCCAGTGTCCAGGACCAGGATGTTCCCTCCCTGTCCCCCTTCCCCCACGCCCGCCTTCCCCGAACTGCTCCCCATCCAGAACCAGAGCTGACATCCAGTCACAGACCCAGGAGCAAGGGAGGAGAGGCAGGGAGAAGCAAAGCCGTTTGTAACATTGCTATTCTGTCCTTCCTTCTCTCAAAAGGCAACAGATTCCGGAAAAAAGCCAGAAGAAGAAGAAGAAAACCAAATGGCGGGGAGACCGGGCCACGGGCACCCACAAACTGCAGTGCGTGATATTGTGATGGCCCAAGGCCCTGGGCACAGTGACCAGGAACTGGCCAGCCCTCGGGACCCCTCCACTGCCTAACTGCATCGAAGACCATTCTAACCATGACCCTTGGCCCGAGGACTTGGCACAGAAAGGGAAAGAGGGAGGGTGGGTAGGGAGGAGGTAGGGTCTGGCTTTTCTGGAGGGGCACGGGTGGCCCGGAGGCTCGCCAGAAACAAGGAGGTAGCGGTGAGCAAAGCAGCCTCCGAGCCCCGTGTTGATGCAACCCGGTCCCTCCCTCTCTCGTGGCTGTTGTTTCTCTGAACTCCACAGTGTGGGTTTGATGTGGAAGTGTTTCTCCACGTACAAAAACAAGCCATGATCAAGCTCCCCCCATCCCCACCCCCAGTCCACAGTGTCTGAGCCTGGGTGTCTTTTGTAGATTTTTAAATTATTTTAGGGATTATTATTTTATTAAAGGGGTCTGTACCCACTGCCTGGTGAAGTTTCAAGTCTTCAGCAGACCTCTCCAATAACATGTCTGGAATATTGTGGGTTTTTTTTCAAACTGAATTTTCCCAGCCGTGCCAAAACTCAACTCAATATGAAAGTAGAGTGACTGAGAGACTGGGAAGTTCACGGGGACGCTGGCTGGAGGTTCAAGAGAAACAGACCCCACCCACAGCCTGTAAACTGGAGAGAAGAGAGATGTGTTTACCCAGAAGGCTTTACTGTGGTTCAGGATACAGATATTATGAAACAAAATTTTATTTTGCTGAGGAGAGAGGCTGGCACATCGGTTTTTAAAGGGCTTCGCCTTAACCTGGAGATGTATAAACTAAGCAAACTGACTGGCATTGTGAAAGTGTTCATTTCTTTTTCAACTGTTGTGGGTTAAGTTCGGTGTTCTTCACAGCATCTGTGAGACAGCATTCTCCCATCACCTGCGCTATCTGGTGCCTCTGATACAAACACACTGAGCAGGTGTGAATGGTCTCCACGTTGAAGTCGGCTAACATGGACACCATCTGGAAAATTCTGGTTTGTACTAAGTCTTCACCAAAAATGATCCAATACTGTTCTTACTAAAATAGCACCAAGACCTGAAGCCATTTTCCCTTTGAGTCAACTGACTCACTTCTTCAGTCCAATAAATGAGCAAAAACCCCTTGAAGTATTTGCAAACTTAGGATTACAGGTTGCCCTTCTGGCACAAACTTTTATTAACCTCTTGGATCTTTACTATAATTGGAAGAGAAAGAAAGGTTGGGGTGATAACATGGCTCTCCTACACCTGTTTCTACAACTTAGTATTACAGGTTGCCCTTCTGGCACAAACTTTTATTAACCTCTTGGATCTTTACTATAATTGGAAGAGAAAGAAAGGTTGGGGTGATAACATGGCTCTCCTACACCTGGTTCTACAAGGGGCCAGCCCCCAGCTCCTTGACAATGCCCACCTGCCTCTCAGGTGCTGCTGGTATGAGCCAGACGGGGTGAGGTGGGGTGGGGCAGGGTGGAGGGGCAGCAGGAACCACAGTACACCCCGGAGAGAAAGTAGGAAGACAAGGCACCTGGCTAGTGACCTTATTTTCTCTCTGTTACAAATCAGGCCACCAAGCAAAGTAGAACATTCCTAGCAGGTGGCCTGGCCACCACTTGGAGAAAGAAACTCCGGAGCAAGTGAGCACCCCTCTGGACATGGAGACACCTGGATTCTTCTTTAGTTTTGAAAATATGCTATGTTCCTAACTCAACGAGGTCACCAGCAACGTGGGGGAAGGGGTGGGGGCACAGCCAAAGAGTGACTCTGCTGCCGAAACGAAATAGTTTGTTGGAGAATTAGCCTTCATCATTTGTCTAAATGACCCTTTTTCTCTGAGTCGAAAAGGAAGGATAACAAAGAACATTCAGCTCAGGCATTCAGATCTTCCCAAGACCCTGTAACGTTAGTGGGCCTTCTAAACACTGACAGGACAAGGCCGTTTCCAACTGCCATGCTCCTCTGGGCCACATCCCAGCTGTCCAGGTACAGCTTGGTGGTGGCTGTAAACTGGAGATGAGAAAGAGGCAAGACAGAGGGAAGAAGGAAGGATGGAGATGTGGTGATGGAGAGAGTGGTGGAGTGGGCCAGGAAGCCTTGCCCACAGGGCAGCATCCGCTGTGAAACGTTCCCAGGCATGGACCACCACCAGCACCCTTATCCACTGTGGAGCCTGCAGTTCCCCGATGGCACTGGGGAGTCTTGTTGGAAGCAGACCAGTTGACTTAGAATGAAGGCCTTAGCTCTGAATGTAACCAGACAAGGGGATTCCAGCTGCTTCCAGGCCCTCCCCCAATTAAGGCAGTGCCATCTACCCCAGCCCCTAGCCCCATCTTCCAGGGCATCTCTCCTGCACTCAGCACATAGCCCACGATGCTGAAGGAAGAAACTGGGTAAACGATGGCCTTCAGCAGCCTCCCTGTTGAGTTAATAGTCTGCCTTCATTTCCCATGACCTCATTTCCCTCACAGCTGCGATGGGTAAATAACACTTTTGAAAGATTGTTCTCTGCATTTTAGAGAACTGTGGGCTTTGGGGGCAGTGACGGCTTCCACCTAGGCCTGAGTTAGAGTATACCCAGGGGTACCCCCAGCACATGGGCACCTGGCAGGGTCAGTTTGGAAAACCAGTAGCCATGCTCCTCCCTGAGTGCAGAGTCCAATGAGACCTGTATCTTTGGTGACACTCTGGTGTTCCTACTGGCTTTCCATTTGAATTGTGCTACCTTCATGCCCCTGGAGCACACCATTCCTGAAATCCCCTCACCCTTAGCCTTTGTCACTGTGCGCTCACAGATCTCCTTCTGACATCCTGCCCCTCCCCCCACTCAGAGGGCTCCTTTTCTACCCTCAGAGGGTAAGCAACCCGAGCTGTCCTCCCCAACCCCCCGCCTGGGGCCACGGGCACTGACTTCCCCTCGCAGGGTACTTTGCCTCACAGGGGACACTGGATGGCTTCAGTTAGGACTTTGTGTGCCCCACCCCACCCCCCATCTTCTTGTGGAGAGTGCCTGTGAGCCTCGTGTGGCCTGTCTCCCGTTTCCAGGAGACAAGACCCACTAACACATGGCCACTCTGACCTCAGAGGCCCCTCAGATGTGTTACAGTCAATCCAGAGCCAGAGACAGGTCCCCTCCCTTTTCTGCCCCCATTGGAGTAAGGATTCCATGTCGGGTTTACTTAGAATAAAAGACACTTGAATTGCTGAGTGCCCATGAGCACCCAGCTTCTATCACACAGTGTTAGCCATTGTCTACGCTGGTGGCCATTGTCGTGAAACGAGTGATACCTGAAGATCTCGATGATGCTTGAGCCTTTTGTGTAACTTTTATTAAGTCTTTGTGTATCCCAACTCATTAATAAAGAAAAGCAGAGGAACTCTTGTCTGTCCGATTTCCTCTTACTCAAATATGCCTAAAGTTTTGACGAGAAAGTTTTATGTGGTCAGTGTCTGGCCCAAAATGACACCCTCTTGCAGAGCAAATCTAACACGAGAAGGAGACCACAGGTGGCTATGAGCTGTGTCCCCGTCCTGCATGGAGCCAGAGGATGAAGGCAGGTGAGCACTCATTTAGAGACACAGCCTCCTGATGTCCAACAGCCCTGCATTCAGGCTCTGCCTCTGCTTTTTTATGCCTTTGAGTAAGGTACCTGCTTCAATCTTTAGCTTCCCCGCCTATGAATGGGACAATGCTGTGCACTTCCTAAGTAGACAAAAGCTAAAGCTAAGTGTGGACATCCATAGTACAGATCCTAGAAATGATGCTCTTTATAAAGGACACCAAGTGGATTGTCTGATGTTGCTTTTCATGGAAACTGCCCCCTGCCCCCGACTATAAGATTACAGTCTTTTGTATAAAGTGATTTCTCTTTTGATTGAAACTGTTGGGTACTTGGCAAAAAACTTCGGGTCTTTTTTCCCAGGGTGTAGAGGTCAAATCCCTTCCTGGGTATTCTTTGGGTGATGACAGTTGAAGCAGGTTAACTTGGGGGCTAGAGGAAGCTTCTAATCCCTTCTGGGCTGGGGGCAGAGAAGACTGTCGACTAGAATGGGGAGGGGTGGTGTGGCTGCCTGCCTATTCATTCCTTCCACACAGATTTATTGGACTCCACCCATGACAGGCATTGGGCTGGGTACTGGGTATATGGTGCTGAGTAGGGCGAAGGATGTTCTGATAGTTCTCCTTTAGTCCTGTCCTACTCAATCAAAATCAGGACAAAATTCTTAACTCTGATTGTTGTGATTAAGAATCTGCCTTGCAATGCAGGGCACATGGGTTTGATCCCTCTTCACAGAACTAAAACCCCACATGCCTTGGAACAACTAAACCTGCACACCACAACTACAGAGCCTGAATGCCCCAAACTAGAGAGCCCATGTGCCACAACAAAAGATTCTGTGTCCCTCGACTAAGACCTGACACAGCCAAATAAATAAATATTTTAAAATAAGTAAATCCAGGCTATTAAAAAAAAATCTGCATTTCAACAAGATCCCCAGGTAATTCGTATGTGCAGTAAAATCTGAGTATCACTGCCCTACAAAGGACATCATCTCAGCATCTGAAATCCAGCCTGGATGCATTGTGCCTTGGGACCCAGCTCAGCCAGTCCACCCAGGAGAAGTCTCATCTGCTTTCAACTCAACAATTAGAGTTTGCTCCTTTGCCTATAACAGCCACAAGATTCTGCCTGGCCAGCAAACTGGCCAGCAAACTCAGAAGTGTTCCCACAGCCAGCAAGTAGTTTCCTTACTTAAGGGAAGTTTTTACACAAAGGCAAATTGGATCCCAGTTTGCTTCTCACTCACTCACTCTCCTGAAAATGTAGACAGCCACATTCAATGTACAGAGCTCTGAATCCAACCTAAGAACACACAAAAGCTCAGTGTTCTTGGAGCTTTCTCTAAAGATGGGTGTTCTGTACCAGCTAGAGATACTCTCATCCTCCAGGACTCTCACTTTGCAGAGTTCCACCATCGTGCTTGGGGCT